CCAAAATTGTTACTTGGGTATAGTCAGTTTTGTTGTTACGGATGTGGTTGTAGAACTCCCTTTCGTTAGTGCTGAACATTCGATTTTCCTTCTTCCGCTTCGAACTTTCTCCATAACGTCGCATCCGTTTATCAAGAGCACTCAACTGCTGTACATGGGTGTCGAGCACCTCAGATATATCGGCTTCAGTGAGGTCATGGAGCTCTGCGGGCTTGACAATTTCAGCAACGTGACGAACTAGCCTCGATGATCGGTTTCCCCTCTTGTACTGTGTCAACCGACCAATCTTAGTCTGAAGTGCGACGATTTATTATTATTATATTATTATTATTATATTATTATTATTATTATTATTATTATTATTATTATTATTATTCACCTCTCACTGCGTCCTAGCAAGAAGTACGGTCGACTTGTTTCGCGCTCCGTTGTTTTGGAAGTTTTCTCGGTATTCGCTTGATATAAATTATCAGTTTTTTTTCTCACTTAGTGACTCCTGGCATAGTTCCCGGTAAATTGATCGAAAAGTGAGTTTTTTTTAGTAGAAAGTGTCATTTTCGGAAAGAGTTATCCGTGCTATTGGAAATTCGCGAACCAATTTGGGCATCATCGTTGCGTGGTCACGCATACGCGCTTACGCATACCCGCGCACGTATCATCATCATCGAGTGTGAGCACCCGTTTCTACATCTACATCGTTCATCAATCATCGTGCGCCTGTGTGCGCTGAGTACCGAGCCTCGATCAAGTGCACCACAACGAAGGTCATCCACGCAGCGCGTCTCTTCCAGCCATCTGTGTAAACGCCTACACATATAACGCTCGGTGGTAGTAGTATAGGATTATCAGATAAGTTTTTGTTTTTTTCTTGTTTCTTTTCCTCCCCCATTAGTTAAATTTTCATTTTGTATTTCTGTGTTTGTAGTGTTTTCTGTGCGTTCAGTGGGAGAGCGTTTTGCGCTCCCACTAGTTGAACAAAATGGATGTTTTGTCAGAAGACGACATGGATGACCATTCATCTAAGAAAAATGATGATGTCATCCATGGTTCGTCGTCTCAGTCTGACAATGGGCAGGCTGAGAAAAGCTCCAGATTGCGGGCCTACCCGAATGACTCGACTGGCCCATGGGTTGTCTATTTTCAGCCCAAAAACAAATCCTTGAATGTTGTTCAGATATCTGATGATCTGACAAAGCGATTCTCTGCCGTGACCGAAATAACGAAGGTTAGGCACAACAAACTTCGTGTGACCGTCGCTAACCTGAAACAGGCCAATGAAATTGCTGTTTCCCAGTTTTTCACACTGGAATATAGGGTGTACATTCCAGCCTCTGATGTGGAGATCGAAGGCGTGGTCACTGAGGCGAGCCTGAACCCCGAGATACTGGAGAAGCAAGCGGTTGGCCGATTCAAGAACCCCTTGCTTCCTCCGGTAAAGATACTGGCCGTTCATAGAATGAAGTCAGTATCGCTCAGCGAGGGTAAAAAGAGTTTTACCCCCACAGACTCGTTTCGGGTGACCTTTTCTGGATCTGCCCTTCCTCAATACATCGAGCTGGGAAAACTTCGTCTTCCTGTGCGGTTGTTTGTACCTCGGGTCATGAACTGCCAGAATTGTAAGCGGTTGGGACATACGGCCTCTCACTGCGGCAACAAGGCACGCTGCTCCACATGCGGGGAGAAGCATGAGGATGGCGCCTGCGCAGCTATTGCACCAAAATGCGTGTACTGCAACGGAACTCCTCCTCATGCTCTCTCGTCGTGCCCGGCGTACAAACAGCTCGGGGACAAAATGAAACGCTCCCTTAAGGAACGTTCCAGGCGGTCTTTTGCAGAAATGCTTAAGACAGCCAAGCCATCGACCAACGAAACAAATCCCTTCGCTCTTTTGTCAGATGACGAGTCTGGCTCTGACTTGGCTGAGGAGGGAGTTTCTTTCAGTTTTCCGGAAGGTTCTGCCCGGAAACGAAAACGCATCCGTTCGCGGAAAGTTGCAGATCAAGAACCCCAAATCAGCTTGCCCAAATCAAGGAGTGGTGGAAAAAAGGAGACTTCTACTCCTCCTGGATTCCGCAGAACTGATTATACCCAGGATTTTCCACCTCTTCCGGGGACATCCAAAACCCCTGATGCCCCAATTTTAAGAACAGAAACCCCTTCTTCATCTGGGCTGTTCTCATTTGATGACATTGTGGACGGTATTCTCAAATACCTCAACATTTCTGATCCTCTGAAAAGCATTGTCCTCACATTGCTTCCCACTGTGAAATCCTTCTTGAAGCAATTGACTTCAAAATGGCCCCTTCTTGCAGCTATCGTCTCCTTCGATGGATAATTTTCCAAACGAGGTCGGGGATTTGATTACTGTTCTACAGTGGAATTGTCGAAGTCTTATTCCGAAATTAGATTCGTTCAAGTATTTAGTCCATAACAATAATTGCGATGCATTTGCCCTCTGTGAAACATGGCTCTCTTCAGAAATTGATCTCCCTTTTTTTGATTTTAACATTATTCGATTGGATCGTGAGGATTCACGTGGAGGAGGGGTACTTTTAGGGATCAAAAAGTGCCATTCCTTCAATAGAGTGAATCTTCCCGAATTCCCCGGTATTGAAGTTGTCACATGTCAGGCTACCATTAAAGGTAAGAGCCTTTGTATTGCTTCTGTATATATTTGCTCCTAGAGTCTCTGTTAATCGCAAACAACTTTTCGACATATGTGCGGTACTTCCCGCTCCATGGTTGATCATGGGAGATTTTAACTCCCACGGTACAGGCTGGGGGGAGCTGTACGATGATAACCGTTCTACTTTGATTTATGATCTCTGCGACAACTTCAACATGACAATACTTAACAATGGAGAAGTAACACGTTTGGCTGGTCCATCCTCGAATGGTAGCAGATTAGACCTCACCTTTTGCTCCAATTCACTATCGTTGGATTGCACTTGGCATGTAATCCAGGATCCGCACGGTAGTGATCATCTGCCGATCAAAATTTCGATTGCCAGTGGGTTCAACTCGTCAGAATCCGTTAACGTCGCGTATGATCTAACCCGTAACATCGATTGGACTAAGTTCCAATTAACGATAAACGATACAGTATCGTCAGTGGAAGAGCTTCCGCCGTTGGAGGAATATAATTTCCTCTCTAATCTCATCATTGACAGCGCACTTCAAGTTCAAACACGACCGGTGCCGCGATCGTCTATTCGTAAGAAAACACCATCGCTAGCTTGGGACGATGGCTACATTCAATTATCCCTAAGGTGTCGAAGTTTGCATGGTTCAAAGGGTTGGACTTGAGTCGAGACTTCATACGCGTGATGTCTCGTCTCATGTCCAATCACTATTGTCTAAACGCTCACTTGTTCCGTGTGGGGTTGGGAGACAGCAATCTCTGTGAATGTGGACAAGGTTACCAAGACGCTGATCACATCCTTTGGTCTTGTGCGGAGTATCGTGGAGTCAGATCACATTTTTATGATTCCCTTCGGGCTCGAGGTAGACAACCTAATGTTCCAGTTCGGGATATTTTGGCTAGACGCGATCTGGAGTTTATGAAACTCATATATGTTTACTTTAAGGATATTAACCTTAGATTGTAAGTTTGATTAACCTTGTGTTTAGTTTGTATTTTGTACGTGTGGGTTTTTTTTTTCAATGTTTGTTTTCAAGATGAATAGAAATAATTTCATGCTTTAGGATTAATTAAATAATTGTATCGTAAACCACATTTCAAACCTCCTTCTTCCCTTTTCCCATCCAAAAAATTGTAAATCTCCACTAACCTCGAGACAACCGCGAGTACTCGGTCCAGTTCCTTTAACTTTAAATTTAAGACAGTAATAATGTATAACGCAAATGATAATTCGGCTCTGTAAAGTTTATTCGATTGAGCCTGTACAAATAAAGTAATTATAAAAAAAAAATTATTATTATTATTATTATTATTATTATTATTATTATTATTATTATTATTATAATTATTATTATTATTATTAATATTATTATTATTATTATTATTATTATTATCATTATTATTATTATCATTATTATTATTATTTATTATACTTTTTCCGTGCTGAGCACCAATGCTACCGACACCAGGGAGGCAGCTCCCACACCTGGACCCTACCTATCGAGCCATCAACTCATTAACCGGGGACCAACGGCTTTACTTCCCTTCCAAAGGAAGGCGTGATCAGAGATGTTATGCCTCAGAACATTCCGGTGGCGCCGACTAGGATTGAACCCAGGCCTGCTGGGGTGAGAGGCAATTACGCTTACCTCTACACCACCGGCACCGCTATTATTATTTATTACAGTCACTTTAACACTCTTGGGTCTTTCATGACCTATCCATTGATGAGATTTGAACTCGTGACGTTGACATGAGAGGTATGGATGTTTACCACTTCGTCGGGGCCGTCCCCAAAGGGTTTAGTTTGCGTAGGAGTGCTAAGTTTATACAAATTGACGATTGAATCTTTGTTTACAAAAGCAGATATGCCCCTATGAAAAAGCAATCGAGAATTCTTTAAATGAAATAATTGTCATCTCAAAACAGTGTAATTAACCGCTGAGAATTAGGATTTTGTTGTGTTGAAAAACTTTTCAAAAAACTTACGATTTGATATGTAATGCAGAAATAAATTTAACGGAAATTACCAAACCGACATCTTGTAAAATATGCACAAGTGACCATTTAGTCTTCACATATTTGTGTTGCAAAATTTTAAGATAAATGTGTTTGTATAACGCGCTGTAGGGCGAACACTGTTTGCAATGAAGTCACGTTTTTGTTGCCAAGCCTTTCATATACCAATTACGCGATTGAGCACTTCATCACTTGATTTTATTCTGCATACTTGATAATGATGAAACGTGCTGATGGAATCACATTATTTGCGGAGGGTCAATTCAATTCACTTTACTAGTCTTTTATCACTTGAGTTTACGTTAACAAAAACATGTCATTAGTGAGAAGACAAACTTACCTTCACAACCAAACGATGTTCTTGTTGAAGATGACCATCTTTTGCACTGCTCAACGTTACCTTGACCTTGTACAAAACTGTCAGCATGAACGTTCCATCAGCCTGCAAAGGTTTGGCTTCTACAGAATCCAATCGCACGGTATCATTCCGGTCGATTCCATCGATGGTCAACTCACAGCGTTCTACCATTTCCGGAATCAGCTCCGATTGGATGTAATTGATAGATTTAGCAGCTTCAGTCATTGTGAAGATGTATCCCTCAAGAATCACACAGAGGAAATCGGCGCCTGTTGTCACAGGGTTCAAGATGTGCACTGGTATCACTTCATCGAATTCGATGAGCTTCACAACCCGATGTTTACCGACGTCGCTGATAACCGGTCACGCTTACTTAAGATACCGCGAAAATATGGCACCGCGATCGACCGGCAACCGGGAACTAGTGTGCTTGCTCGTCGGCTTCGATAAACTACCGACTGACCGGCGCGACGCATGAAGTGTTTAAGTTTGCACATCAAGCGAAAAATACGAACACACACGCGACGCACATTTGGTGCTGTTGGTGAGTGATAATGATGACGACAACGAAGTGACACGGCTGGATTTTTCAAGTTCAGAGTGAAGATAAGTCTTGAAATCACGTTTTAAGCCATAATTTATTTCTTTTATGGCAGTAAGCTCCAACTCGGATTAACTAATAATCCCATCCCCGTTTGAATGATTTGCAAAATGTTTGCTTAGAATCATATTGATTATGTTTTTTTTTTGACTTTACAAGAGAGATTGTTAGCCCTTGGCTAGTTATATTGATTAAGTCTGATGAAGGCATCAAAGATGCCGGACATTCTTGATCGGGATTTAATGCTAGGTTTTTTCCTTTGTTTTGTTTTCCGTCGATCTTGTTTTCCGTGCTGAGCACCAATGCTACTGACGCCAGGAAGACAGCTCCCACACCTGGACCCTACCTATCGACCCATCAGCTCATCAGCCGGGGACCAACGGCTTTATATTTCCCTGATCAGAGATGTTATGCCTCAGAACATCCCGGTGGTGCCAACTGGGATTGAACCCAGGTCTGCTGGGGTGAGAGGTAATCACGCTTACCACTACACCACCAGCGCCGCTATTTTATGCTAGGTTAGTACCGGTTGGAGCTTACCACCATTATTGTCCGCTTTTCCGCTATATTGGTTCCAAGCAGTAGAAGCTGAAACAGGTGCTTGTGTATGTTTTGGTCATTAACGTATCACGGTCGTGCGACTTTCGGGTTACAAAACAGGTGTTGTCAATTTCTATGAGGCACGCTTATAGGAATTTAAAGTGGCACCATTCTTAGTTATTCTTCCAGCTAAATCTAAGTTGGGCTCGAGATTGAATTTCGGTCCCACTTGGACACGCAACTTGTTCAGCACAACAAGTTTGACCGGAAATGATCGTAATGTGCGCTAGAGTTAGTGGACGGTTCTGAACCAATCAGTTCAGTATAAGTATAAGGACCAATTTTGAAACTCAACATAGTGGTTTCCATACAAACTTTCTTTTGTTCATGAAAAATCACGACTAACTTCTGGAAAGGGATATGTTCGTAAAAATAAAAACAAATTTGTCAACATTACTTTAATATTATCTAAAAAATCGCTGCATTCAGCTAGGGAAAATAATTAATGATGGTGGCTTTTCAAAAAGAAATGTGGAAGTCTTGCTTTAGTATGAATCACTTGATGTCGACGACTAATTGAAATTGTGCATGAACTGGATTAAGATAATAAGGATGTATACGAGAAATGTGAAACACATTTTGAAAATCCAACAGATATTTTTCCCCATAAAACTAACAAAAGGCATCATCAAACCTGAAGCGTTATGCGATTTTTTCATTGATAATGTGCCATGCATCGAACGCGCAAAAAATTAAATAATAATAATAATAATAATAATAATAATAATAATAATAATAATAATAATAATAATAATAATAATTATAATAATAATAATAATTATAATAATAATAATACTAAAAATAATTAATAATAATAAATTATAATAATTGTAATTAAATGTTCAAAAATTAAATGACTGCTTGGAACTGAAAAAGAAAACGGATCATCAACAAGCTGCCATACCAATCCATGATACCGATTTAAACAATTCTGGAGGTTTTGCAGTAGACTGTCGCAGTCATGAGAACCAGAGAATGAGCGTCAATTGAAAAGGCCTTTGAATTGTTAGGCTACATATGTACACTTTTTTTTTATTACAGTAACTTTAACACTCTTGGGTCATTCGTGACTTGTCCGGGGGTGAGATTTGAACTCGTGACTTTGGCGTGAGAGGTATGGATGTTAACCACTACGCCGGGGTCGCCCCCATATGTACACTAGTTCCAGATCTATCTAACGATTCCAGCGACAATGACGAGGCATTTTCTCATTATATTAGTGTGCTTTTCGACGAGAGTGAGTAGTAAAAGGTAAAGAAGACTAAAAAATCGTTAATTTCTAGAATATTTTTTTCTTTTTCGGTAGGTTGATTAATTTCCCGTCATCAGTAAAAAAAAACATAAGTTCAATTAAAATTTCCAATAACATGACTACAGAAAGAAAACGACAAAAAAAATAATTAAAGATTTGTAATTAAATTTAAAATAACTAGCTGATAAAAACTCTTGAAGCTCCATAATAATCACCCCATCCATAAACTACAACAGATATCAAGATCTTTACTCCAGAGCGTTCTCGTATAACCTAGAACACCTATTTATTTTAGCATTTCTATTAACCTGTTGAGCGTTAGTTTAAAACACTAATTCTCATTTGTATCAAGTTCATTTTTTCTGAAACTTTTATTCTTCACAATTCTGTCTTAAAGCCTATTCATCCAGATAGAGATAGCATTTGGCCTAGTGACCTTAATCTCTGTTACTCAATAAATTCTAGGCCTTTGAAATCATAAGATGTATTGAGCATAAAAAAGGTAGAATTTGATTTTGCAAAGTATCTATAAAGATCAATACATTGTTTTGAACACATTAAGCGACTCATAGAGTTGATTTTTTTCCTTTAACTTTAGAAAATACTTTCTGTAATGTTGCTTATATTTTTCCCACAAATAACCTCAAAACAATTACAGTTGGATACGTTTAAAAAAATGTGTATATTTCGTATTTTGTTGAATATTAACAACCGGAAAATTTTTAAGATTTGAACTGGAAGAACCGGGAAAAAAAAAGTCACTGGCCACCCTATTCTACACTTGGGACATACCTCCTCTCGGAGACGGTTGTGTGTTTTTCCTGATCGCAGATGATACCGCAATAGCCGTCAAAGGAAAGATGCCTCTAGAATTAACGAACAAACTTCAACGATGTCTTTGTTGATTATGCAAACACCTGGAAAATCAAAATCAATGCCTACAAACTCAAGTAATCATGTTCCTCCATCGGCAATCGCCCAAACTAAAACCGGCTCCATCTTGTACTGTAATCATTAATAGCACAAGGGTTGAGTGGTCTGCTGAAGTTACATACCTTAGACTGGTATTCGATGAGAGGCTACTGTTCCACTCGCATATAGAAAATACTTTAGTTAAGTGTTGAAGCTTAGTTAGGTGTTTGTATCCGCTGATTTGTCGCAAATCCCGAAGATCGTGAGGGAATAAAGTGCTCAAACTCACAGGAGCAAAGTCCAGGTGGCACAAAACAGAGTGCTTAGGGCACGAAGAGGCAGACATTACCAAAATAGATTCCATAATTAACGAAATTAAGACTACATTTTCCCTGTCGGCGCTGCCGGGATGTTCTGAGGCACAGTGTTGGAAAAGTTCGCGATATTTCACGAAGTTCACCAAGGGAAAAGTTCGCGAGTCATAGTGAGTTTTCGCGAACTTTTCCATCACTGCTGAGGCATAACATCTCTGATCGCGCCTTCCTTCGGAAGGGAAGTAAAGCCGTTGGTTCCCGGTTCATAAGTTGATGGCTCGATAGGTAGGGTCCAGGTGTGGGAGCTGCCTCCCTGGTGTTGGTAGCATTGGTGCTCAGCACGTAAAGCAAATCAAGGAAAATATTATATATCAGAACATGCTTTGATAAGCAATTTGTATATAGTAGGTTAGACGTATATAATAGTTGTAGTTGTTAATAGTAGTTATAAGTAGTCTCCTTTTTCAATTTAAAACAAACCAATCCCATCAAGGTGGTCATTCTATAAAACAGGCCTGATATGACTAGGAACATTAAATACCAATTATAAAATTTCAAATGAACTAAAGTTGAAAAGACGCATACATGTGAACCACACAAATTAAAGAAATAAAGATCTTCTAAAGTAAAAAAAAAACAAAAGTTATCGCATATCGCCCTGCTATGTGAATAAATCTACATTTGTTTGAATCGCAAATTCTCGCGAAAATGAAAACCTTGTGTTAAGGGCGAGTTGGTGGGCGTCGCGAATGCGCAAATCACCACGAACAAGCAAACAGTCGTCATCACTCGCGAGCTAACAAACACCATGTAAGCATCTCCACGTGATAGTAATGATGCGCGTCAAGTTCAAGTGTGTCTGTTTGTGAGCAGACTACATACAGAGTATCTCACAAATTAATCAATGTTGCTACATGTTTGTATGTCACGTATTTCAGTGAGTTCCTTGTGACTGAAGTATGTTATGCAAGAGGCCCGCAACACAGCACTTTAATTTTTGATTGTGTCAACTTAGCTAGTCAGTTGGTGCATTGATGGTCTATTAATCTTAAATTAAAGACCAAATTAAGTTTTTCTCAGTGGCGTAACTAGCTTCTAAATGCAGGAGTGAACCAGGGGCGTGTTAAAAATTATCTTCAAGTGTCTGATTACATTTCGATACAAAATAAAGAAGAAAATGATTTCGATTATTATTTTGATTATTTACTCTAAAAAACGTAATTTCATCATAGTATGAAGCTCTATTTTTCTGATAATGATTATATGATAGACTAGCTTTAACTCCATTTTCGAGAAGTATCTTTCGGGCAGAAAAGTCTCCTCAGCTCACCCAATATTATATGGAACTAAGCTCATTTCCGTCATATTGAATCATTCCCAAGTAACAATCTAAATGCTTGGAAGATTTATTCTTATTTTATCATTGTTTTATCATAGCATCCCTTCCAGCCTGTGGTTGTATTACGGTTTTGTGTGCTTGTCATAAAATCAGGCCGTCAAGCCATCTATAAAACTGTTTTATGACTACTAAATTAAAACTCAGACTTCATAGTTTTAACGGTAGCTGTAAGGTGGTTCTGCATCACTACTTATAACTGAAGAATAAAACCAAAACAAAACATACAATTATGTTTTATGGTACACTTTTTATAACCGATATAAAACTTGAAGCAGTCTTAGACCTTCATTAAAGCTTCATTACAACTATCATCTTTATCAGAGGCCTAAGATTCACAGATAAGAAATATACTG